AGGCACCTCACGCCCCCGCCTCCCCTGCCCCGTGGACCGCCCGGAGCCGGCTCGCAGAGCCCCGCGGGGAGCAGCGCACGCCGGCCCGGCCGCCCCCCAGCTCAGAGACTGTCCACCGGAAGGCCTTGGTCCCGCAGCTTGTGTGTGTGAGTGCAGTGTGCGTGTGTGCCGCTCACTGAAATAAAAGGAAAACACTGACAAGAAGGGAAACAGAGTCCCCACAGCACCACCACTGCCCTCAACCCCCTCTCTCCTCCTCACTGGGAAGGAGGACGCGCTGAGCCAGGGACGCTCTAAAGGGCAGAAACGAGAGCCCCGACAGCCACGGTCACAGTTGCGGGGTGGGGATCGGGGTTCCACACGTGTGGGGGCTGACAGGCACCTGACTCCTACTCCCAATTAGAGCTTCCACCTGCGCATAGCAAAGCCCGTGGTGGCAACATTGATGCTTTTGTTGGTTAAACATTGCTCTTTGCAAGCTCCTCTTTGAAACAAAAATACTTGAGAGGTAGCAATGTTAAATCCTTCAAGAGGGGTAAACGATGAAAGGTCAGATCAGAATCCAGAGAGCCAGAGAGGGTAAATCCAGGCAAGAGCCCACACGCCTTAGAAAGCACGCCTGTCGCGAGCACCACCCCACAAAGCACTTTTTAAAAAGTGTTGTTTTTGTCTTTTCGTTCAAGTAAGACGCTTGTATTTAACTTTTTGTTGGGCCATGACTGTGGATTTATAGCAGGTTGCAAAGATACTGTAGAGAAATCCTGTACCCTCCACCCAGTGTCCCCCTTGCATTTTCCAACACCGAGCTTGATATCAGAAGCAGGAAGTGGACATGGGTACCGTGTGTGCGTGGTTCCCTGTCATTTTGTCACCCATGTGAGATCTGTGCACCCGCCACACTGCGGTCAAGGTGCAGTGCCTCCAGTTACCACAAAGCTCCCCCTTCATCGTCACCCCCCCACCCTGGAGGCTTCTTTGAAAGAATGGAAATCCTGAGAGAGGGACCAGGGACCGGAAATGGGTCCTCAGGCCAGAGGTTAGAGGTGAGAGTTCAACCCTCTGGGGAAGAAAAGACAAGCATGTCCACTCCAGTCTGCTCCGGGAAAGACATATTTGGTTTCAGACTGGCTGTCCTGAGTCACCCAGACGGGGGTTCCCCATACAGTTGTGCTTCCTCCCCTCCCTCTGTGCTGCTGGTATCATTTGGCGAGGTGCTTGGAAATGCCCTGACATCCTGAGTCTGGAATGAAACATGGGGGTGACCAGGGCAGACCTTGGGTTCAGTGGGTCGAGCCACCACCTAGTGCCCACCTTGCCTTGTCCAGCAGACCTGTGCCCCATGACTCTTTTAGCCACTTGACACAAGGAGGGTTCCTCCATTTGTACTTTCTGCTCCGAGCTGAAAACTGTCAGGGCAGACCTGCTGCATGACACCCTAGAGGTAAAATATAAAAAGGTAAGACAGGGTCCTAGGATTGGATAGAGGGAGACCTACCCTGGTTTCCAGGAAGCTCTCAGTATGATGAGATCGAAAGGCTTAAAGAGACCCAAGTCTGATGGAGGAGACGTAAGCTCAGCTCTGTGGGGGCTCAGAGTCTAGGGGCAGTGACAAGAGGCAATGCTCCAAAAGGGCATGACAAAGGGAAGACACCAGATGTGTGGTGAATCCAGAGTGCTGGAGGATGCAGGGAAGGCTTCCTGTAGGAGGTGGCCCTGAAGCTGGCAGAAGAATGATCCTCTATAGATGTTCAAAAAAAGATGATGATGGAATGGTGCAGGGGAAGAAGTACCCAGGTATGATCAGGGCAAGGGGTGCAGGGTGAGGGCAGGTCAGGGGAGACAGTGAGGAAGCGGCGTGAAGAGAGGGCAGCCTGCCAGAAAGTGCATGTGGTGCGGAGACCAGGAAGAGATGTGGTCTGGAGCAAGGGGCTGTGAGAGCACCTTGAGTTCCAGGGGGAGGAGCTGAGTTCATACTGGCTGCAGGCTGGGGGTGAACGAAAAGCCAAATTCAGAGGTTAGAGGGCCAGCCTTACCCCTGCACGCCTCCCCTCCCCTCTGCTGCTGCGGCAGGTGGCTTAGGGCCCCTCCCAGATCTGGAAGAGCTCCAGGACCCAATTTCCCTGTTTACAGTCAACTCAGGGAGGACGGGAGTGGCGAGGGGAGGGGTGGCCACCGGGGCGGTCTGATCAGTTCTCTCCAGCTCGGGCCTGGCTTGAAGAGTTTGCGCTCGCCACCAGCAGGCTCAGGTCCTCAGCTCCCAGGCTGCCGCCTCGCCATGGACACAAGGGTAGGCAGTAGGCCCGAGGGGCTCCCCGGCAGTGGCTGTGACCTGGGCAGAGCCCGGGAACACATGCAAGCGGTCACCCGAAACTACATCACCCACCCCCGTGTCAGTGAGTACAGTCCCCGCAGTGGGTGAGGGTGGGGGCTGCTGGGTGGCTCGAGCTTCTTAGGCTCAGGGAAAGAGGAGGCTCTGAGGCGGAGGAAGATCTAGGGGGCTCTCGGTCCAGCAGAGTGAGGCAATGGACCGCCCAGACAAGGGGCCACCTCTGCAGATGGGGGGATGGGGTCCCCAGCCCAGGCTACCCCAGAGGAGAAGGCGGGGGAGTTCCTTGGGGGAACCTCTCGGTCATCACCCTTACCCTGCCCTGAGACCCCAAGTCCAGAGAGAGTTCCCCACTGCCCCAAGGGTGTGTGTTTGTGATACATGCTCTGTGTGAATGTGTGTGTGTTGGGGGTGTGTGTGCGTGTGCGAGGAAATGTATGATCAGGAGTTCTCAGGGAATGCGTGCGGCAAGGTGGACCATGTGTGCATTCTCAGGATGGGGACAGACACGCCACTGTGTGTCACGTCAATGGGTCCATGTCATGCGTGCCTTTGGGGGAAGGTGTCTGTGTGTATAACCCAGGGGAAGGAGCGTGTCTGGGTATGTGCGTGCTCCCACCTTCACTTGGGTGAGGATAGGTGTAAATATGTGCGTGACAGCTTTCAAGTGTGTATGATCAGAGGGAGGAAATGTGTAACAATATATGTGCATACTTGTACAGTCAGGGTGAGTGTGTGGTTCCGTGCACAAACATGCGTGCTCGTGGGGAGAATGTGGGTACGTGGTCAGGTGATGTCATATGTTTGTGTCTCTACAGCTGGGGGCGGGGGGAGTGCCTGGCACGGGGAGAATTCAGAATTCAGAGGGGACCATCCCGAGGTGTGTCCAGGTATCTGGGGCACAGAAACCAGTAAGGCTCTGAGGACTGAAGGGAGTACCCCCTCCATCTCTCCTTGCCAAGGTCATTCTCCAATTCTCGAATTCTCGGGCAGCCCAGCTCACTGGACAAAACCGGCCTGGCCAGCACAGGCCAAGTAGAGCCAGAGGCTCCTAACAGCGCGTGTGTGGAGAGAAGCTGGCCTAGAACAGCCACCCCGCCCTCCGCCCTCGGTCTGTTGCTACCCAGACCATAGCGGGAGGAGCCAGCTGGCGGGGCAGCCCAGAGAGCCGGGTCTGCATTGAATGGGGCTGGCATCCGCCCAGAATGGACCAAGTGCAAAGCGGGCAGGCCCGGTGTGCAGAGGAACGGAGCAGGGGGTATGAGGCACCTCCAGAGGCCTGAGGCAGGCACTGAGGGGTGGAGCACATTCCAGCTGAGGAGGAACTGAATGGGACCAGATTTAGCAAGGAGGCCCTGCAGGCCCTGCGCTATGGAGGCATGGGGGAAGCGCTGAGGCCCAGATCCTCCCCTGGGGCAAAGCAGGGGTCCTGAAGGCCCAGAAATACCCCGTGACTGGCCCCCCCACTTGGGCCCAGAGCCCAGGCCTGGTGGAGATCTGAGCCCACCCTGGCAGGCTCTTCCCCCACCCCCCCCTGCAGCGTGCCCTCCCCAGGACCCTGCCGGGTGGCACCTCACCCCAGGGCCCCCTCCAGCCGGTTGCCTCTAGCCAGCACCTTATTTAAAGTCAACAAGCCCTGGTACAGGGAAACACCCAGGAGATGTGACCCAGGCTGGAACCCAGGGGTGGCAGCGCCCTCGTGTCTGCCTCTGTGTCACTTCATGGGGCCCTCACTCAGGTGAATGTGTCACACCCAACAGCTGACCCCGAGACAAGGTTCCGCAGACGGGGAGCCCCTCCACCCCTGACTCTTCTCCGGACCTGCATTAAAGACGTTCCCGCAGGGACAAAGGCTACCGCCTTTGCTGCACACCAGTGCCCTCATAGGGTACCCCCAGGGGCCAGCCCCAGCCCCACCGACAGCCTCCCCCACCCAGGAGCAGATCGGATTCCCCAGTGTGCTTCTGCACCCACGGCATTCTCCGGTTCCCACCCCCTTCCTCCTCTGGGGGGTCTGAGGGGTTTCCTCCCTGAGGGGTGAGGATGGGGGTGGGGGGAGTATGTGCAAAACTAGAGCTGCGCCGTCAGGTCAGGAGAGGCAGGACTCCTGAGTCTCTCTCTGCCCATATCCCCCAGCCTGGCCTCCGACTGGAGGACTCTATGGACTCTACGGATTTCTGGGCAGGAGAACTTTAAGTAGAGACAGAAAGTCTAGGAGGAGAGCTGGGGGACCAGAGGGACAGGGATGGGGCAACTGGCTCCCAGCCCCAGGGCTTCCTCAGCCATGGGTGGGGTGAGTCGAACAGAAGGCTTCCTGGAGGAGGAGGTGGACCAACAGGCCTAAGGCCTTAAGGGTGATTTCACTGCAGTGGCTGAGGGAATAAGCCAGAAAGGAGGGGGCAGGGTAGAATAGGATGGGGGTGAATCCCAGCAATATCTGCCCTGGTTAAGAAGGGACCCGGCTGCCTCCCTCAGAGCTAGAGCTCTTTCCCCAGGGGAAGGAGGTGGCATGGAGCTCTATCTGTTGTGTGGGGCAGAAGGTGCTTGGCGGGGGCAGGGGGGAGGCAGTGGGAGGAGGGAGGGCAGGGTGCAGCGGGAGCAAAGGTTGGACTGACAGGCTGTCAGCCAGGCTGGAGGGGCAGAGCCAGGTCAGATCACCCAGGGGCTGGAATGCCAAACCCCCAGCTTTGCTGCCTGTCTCGGTTTCCTCGACCGACCCAAAGGCCAGAGAGTTCCACCCGGCAGGTCTTGGGCTGATTCTAAGAAGCCTGGGCTTCCAGCCTTGGCCCTCCCTCCCCTAATCCGTCCGGAGGGGATAAGGGAGGAGGTGGGAGACCTACTGGCCCCCGGCTTGCCCCCACCCCGGCCTCACGCCTGGGCAGCCGGCTCAGCCCTCTCCCAGGACGCTGCAGGTGTGGCTGGGCAGGCCCTAATTAGTGGGCTGCGCGGAGCCCCGCTGAGCCTTTGACAGGGGAAGGCAGCGGGGGAGATGGGGGCAGGGAGGGGCGCCAGGCCTGCAGCCCTAAGTGCAACCCAGAGTGTCAGCTAGGACAATGGAAAAGGGGAGGAGGCAGAGCAGAGGGAGGGAGTGTCTGCAAAGTCTCAGGAAGGCCTATTGAGGGAGTGCCCCTCAGAGGTCTTCTGGGCCAGCCCCCTGCCTCCAGCATGACCCTCCCCCACTTCACCTCACCAGGGTTGACCAGTAGGTCCCAAGGCTGGGGGAGTGCCACGGGGTGCTGACTGACTTGTGGGTGCCCCAGGAGAAATCAGCCAACTTCTGGGCCTCAGTTGGCCGCTGCATGCGATGGACACAATCAGTTGGGGGTGGGTACACACAAAAAGCCTGGCTTCCCGACAAGGACATCTTTGTTGCTCAGCCACCACCTTGGCTGTGTCCAAACGAGACAGCCTCGAAGAAAAGATGTTCTCTAGTCTGACCGGGGAGACACAGAGCTCTGGTCTGAGGGGGGAGACATAATCCATCTCATTAAGGACCACAGGCTGGGGAAGACACCTCTAGGGTGCCCGCCTGGGGGCTGTGGGACTTCAGGGGGGAGCAGAGCCAGGGGGCTGCAGGACTCAGTCAAGGGCAGGGTGTTGAAGGATATGAAAAGCCGGATGCTGAACAGAAACAGCCAGAGTGGATTATCTGCAGTGAAGGGCCCAGGCTATGGAGTGACGACTCATTTAGGAAGCCCAAGAGAGAGAGCCAGGCCTGTGCTTCTGGAAACCCAGAATGCCGGCTTATGGCTGAGGCTGGTGGGATGGACTGGGGGCTCACAGAGCACACGCTGGGCGCCCAGCCTGAGGGCCCTGCTACAGGCAGCATTCCTCCTGGCCTCTGGGCTGCCCCCAGCTGCTCACCACTGCTCCCCCCACCTCAGGTGCCCTCCCCAAGGTAGCGCTGTGGGGATTTCCAGGTAACAGGTTTCCCAGAAAGAAGCTGTGAAATGGGGGAAGCCTGCTGTGAAGGAAGGGAGGAAGTTGAAAGACTTGACTGACTCTGAGGCAGAATTGGAAAGAGTTCCCTGGGGCTTTGTGGACCTTGAGCCCCAACTGCCCCCCCTCCAGCCCACCCACTCAGCATGTTGCTTTGGTCATCTCAGCCCTTTTGGCCAGTCTGGTATTTTCTCTATAGGGCCAGCAAGAGGCCGGCTCTTCCCAGGGCTTTTTAAAATGAGGCTCTGTTCCACTGTGCCTGATCCCTTGGGGTGGCCTAGAGAGAAGCCAGAGTGGAGAACGGCAGGAGAGGGTGGAAGGTGAGCAAAGGAAGTCAGCAGTGGAGCGTACTTGCCAGAAAGTGGGCTGTGAAGGGCAGCAGCTGTGCAAGGACTGGGGCTGACTGGGTGGTTTTTGAGATGGGAGATACCAGGGGCGCCTGGGTGGCTCAGTCGTTAAGCGTCTGCCTTCGGCTCAGGTCATGGTCCCAGTGTCCTGGGATCGAGCCCCGCCTTGAGCTCCCTGCTCAGCGGGGAGCCTGCTTCTCCCTCTCCCACTCCCCCTGCTTGTGTTCCCTCTCTTGCTGTGTCTCTCTCTCAAATAACTAAAATCTTAAAAAACAAAACAAGATGGGAGCTACCAGAGCTTGCTTGATGGGAGGGCCAACAGAGGAAGAGATGCTGGCCCTCTGCCCTAGAGAGCAGTCATCTCTGGGGATGGCCCCAGTGGGGAGGAAAGGTGGGCCTAAGAGGGAAGGTTGGATAGATACCTCCTCCCATCCTCTGAAGGAAGCTGAAGGAGTTCCCCTGCTCCAGGTCCAAGCCCAAAAGGATGGGTCTTCTCGTGCCCTCTTGTTCTTGAGTTTTCCTAGCAGTCCATAAGCTCAGAAGAGCCTTGCAGACATCCCCACAAGGATCGCCTTGCCCAGTCGGTCTTCCTAGCCCAAGTCTCAGTGAAAGGAACATAGATCAGACGAGGGGTTTGACCACTGAGCCCCAAACTGGGGAAGACGTGAGCTGGGGGCATTTAGTTTCTCTTAGTGTGGGGTGACTTGGCACCAGGCTTGCACGGAAGCATGAGGGCAAGTGGCTGAGATCCCAGCCCCAGCTCTGCCACAAGCATGCTGGGTGACCCTGGGCTAGCGTTTTCACCCCCATTCTCCTCCACTTTTGCAAAGAGGGTTAGACCACTCTTCCCTCTGATGTTCTTCCAAGCTGTGAGTGACCCAGTGACCTTAGAGACACTCTGACCATCCTGCCTTGTCAGGGCGCCTCATCTCAGCTGTCCCACTGGTGCTCCACAGGGACCCCAGGGAAGAGCTGTATATCCCAGGGTCATGGGTGAGGGAGAGTTCCACGGTCTCCCAGCTAGCCTCCAGCAGAACCAAGATAGGCTTCCTGTCTGCCAGTCCATGGCTTTCCTGTTGGGGTCCCCAAGACTGGAGTTAGAGGCTCTCTGTAAGCTGAGCTCATTTCTCCATTTGTGGGTCTCTCCAGCGACTAGGACTAGGGCATTCTTCTTCTTCCTCCTTCCTTGTCATTCTTTCCCCTCCCCCACAGGCACTCAGGGAGCCCAGGTTGTCCAGGATGCCCCCTGGCAAGGCCTCATGACAAGGCACGGACCCTGGCTGGTTTTTCTCACTGGTGCCTGACCCCCGCCCCCCAACAGGGGCACATGTGCACAGACACAGTGCTCAGTCAGTGTCGAGTAACCCCGGAGGGCCACAGAGGGAGGGCAGTTCTCTCATCATCTCTAGCTGGGGGCCAGAAGCTTTTGGAAAATGTTGTGGGTCAGAGAGGAGGGAGTGGGTAAGATGGGGGCTGAGGCCAGAGGGGAAGCAGCCTCAAGATAAGAAAGACTTCTTCGTGGCTGAGGGGGAGGAGAGGACTCTGAGGGGCCTCTGCCCTCCCCCTGGCCCTCCCCTGCCTCCTGCAGGTGTCCAAGCCAGCAGGTGGCCCTGCGGGCAGGGGCATGACCCTTGCAGCAATGGTGGCTGGCCCTGTCACAGCTAATGACCCTGACAGCCCAGACTGGGAAGGGGGTGGGGGTGGTGCTTCCAGGGAGGGAGAGCGGAGGATGCCTCTGTGTGTGTGTGTGTGTGAGACCCTCACCTACCTCCACCCCTCCCCCAGCCTACAGGACGGTGTGCAGCGTCAATGGGCCCCTGGTGGTGGTGGACCAGGTCAAGGTAAGATTTCCACTTCTTCCCAGGGCTCCCCAGCCCCTGTACGGGATTTCTTCTAAATTGCCCTGCCCCTAGCTGTCTCCCATGGGCCCACCCATCCCTTGTAATTCCCTGTCACCCATCCCCACGTTCTTCCTCCCCAGCTGTCTCCCCAGCCACCCCCGGTTTCCCTTCCTGCATTTTCAGTGCCCCCGCTCACTCCCGCTCTGGGCCTTCCGGGACCCACACCTACCACCAAGGACCTGGGGGATCCAGGCTGTTGTGCCTCTTTACCAGTGGGATGGTTGTATTGAACTTGCTTACAAGGCTGGACTCTTCCATTAGCTGCTTCTTTTCAAAGGAAGGGAAGGCGGAAGAGCAACATCAGCTAACTCTTCTCCAGAGCTCAAGGTTTTCAGACGTTTTTGGAATATCTCAACCTGGGAACCAGCAGCATGGGCGGGAAGTAAAGTGGGCCTCCCAGAAAGAAATGGGATGTGGGCTCCTTTGTGTCCCCTGGGGAACCGCAGGACCATGGCAGAGATTGACAGCATTTTGAGTTTGTGGTTGGGGATTCTTAAGGCATAAAGGGCCCTGCAAAAGTATGAGGTCACTCTGCTGTCCTCCTGCCACCAAACACTTCCACCCCCAGGCTCCCACCCCAGACTGGAAAACTGGTGCCACCCTGGAGTCATCCCTTCCTCGACCCCAGTCCATCAGTGCCAATGATCTATGAGCAATCTCCCACCCCACTGCTCCCTGATTATGGCCATGGCCTCTGGGCCCCCAGACTGGGGCCCTCCTCTCCATGCTGCCCCCCTGCAACCTGAACCCCTTCGCTTCCCTGCTTCAAACTCACCTAGTACTCCCAGCACCTTCACCTTACAGGCCCTACGTTCTGTAAGGTTTCGTGTGCACCTCCCCGCTCTCATGCCACATCCTCTCCCCTCCCTACGTGGAAATCCACGCTGCCTCTGCATGGAGCTGCCATTTGATGTCTCTAGGCCTTTGCTCATATTTTCCCTCTGCCTCTCCCACTACCTTTCCCCCATACCTTCCTCTGACTCACCCCCAGGGCTAGCTGAGAGGTCACTTCTAGAAGTTTCGCCCAGGCCCCTGGGCAATGAGCCTGTCCTTCCTCTCCCTCTTCTGTACTGTCCCATTGGCAGCTCCATCAAGTCATTTGATCACCACCTGGCCACATGTGCTCTCCCTGCCCCCCCAGTGTCCCTCCAATTGCACATTACTCCTGAGCCCCCGGAGCCTCACACTGCACTTCTGCTGAACACCCAGTCCATTGTGGGTGCTCAGTTTGTTCAGAGGAAGGGTGTGTAAATGAATGAGAGGCATGAATGAATAAGTATTAGAATGACTAAATCCAACCCTCTCATCCCTGGAAACCAGATTCCGAATTCATACAGACTTTCCCGTTTGACCCACTAGCCTTGGGGAGGCACTGGGAAGGAGCGTGATGGAGTGTTTACGCGTGTGTGGGTGCACGGGTCACGCAGTCTGACTCCTTCCCACTAGCTACCTGTCAATTCCAGATCGGCAGCATCAGTACTACCTGAGAACTTGTTAGAAATACGGATTCTAGGGCTCCTACCCCAGACCGACAGAATCAGAAACTCTGGGGTGGGGGGATGTGGGGTGGGGGGAGGATGCAAAAGTCAGTCTCTAAAAGCCCTTCAGGGGCTGTGATGCTCCCTGAAGTTTGAGAAGCATCTATTTAGGCTTGCAAACTCTAGTTTCCTCATCTAGTAAATGATCAGAGAGTTGTTGTGAGGATCAAATCAGATAAATGTATTTTTATGAGTCCTCCTTGAGAACGGTTAGCACTCGCTCTGCTTGGAATGCAGAAGGGCTAATGCGCCTGATTAACAGTTGGTGCCATCTGCTGCCCCCTCGTGTGGTATGAAGTCAGTGCCTTCACAGACATCCGCTCTCCTGACTACTAAATGGGGCTAGACTAGGAAACGAGAGAGATCCTCAGACCTGTGGCTCTGTGACTATTAGATGCATCTGTAACTCTCTTAGAACAGACTGAGTGGTTGATGGAGACACCCTGAACTTGCAGAGGGAAAAAAAATCAGTTATGTATAGTCTCATAAGTTCAGGAGATGGAGAAGACAGCTTTACGTACCCCTCTCCCCATCCCACAACCACTTCCCTCTTCCGGAGTTGCTTGGGCAAAATGCCACAATTCCTCCTCTACAGCGCCACCTTCTGCCCAAATCGAGCCACACCAGCAATTACGCTTCCTGCTTCCATCTTTCTCAAATGGAAAAATGCTTGGGGGGAAGAATTTTGTGCAGACTGGGAGTTCTTAGCCCAGGGAATAAGGGCCTCGAGGTTGTACGCAAACCTTTGAAGCCGTATATCCGTGTGCCTGTGCATTTTTCTAGAGGTAGTTTCCACAGTTCCATCTGATTTTTGGAGGTGTGAGTGTAGGCTGTAAAATGCTAAACGCTAAACCCCTGAGTGTAGACTGTAAAAATGGCCCCGCTAGATTATTAAACATCCACACTCCCAGCCCTGATCTCACAAATGGTCACACACAGGTTGTGCAAGCATTAAAGAGGAGTCCGGTTAGTGGACAGCCACCTGCCTGGGATATATTAGAGAGATTTCACTAGAGCAGCGGTTTTTAAACTTGAGCATGCATGAGAATCCCCTGGAAGGATTCTTTGGGTCCCAACCCAAAGTTCTGATTCAGCAGTCTGAGGTTGAGGCCCAAGAATCTGCATTTCCGGCAAGTTCCCAGGTGCTGCTGCTGGGCTGGGGACCACACTTGAAGATTCACTGCTCTAGAAGATCTTCTTCCAACTGGGGTGTTTTGATGCAGACCAGTCCTTATTGAGACTTGAAGATAGCACTCACCTTATCCACCAGACTTGGTTCCAAATGTCCGTGGCTACTTCAAACTTTTAAAAGAAAAAGCTTTCAGAAGCATGTATATCAGCTCTGAAGACAATTTCCAAACGGGGTTTCCCAAACTGCCCTGGGCGTTGTCAGAAGGAAAGGACTGGAGGCCAGTGCTTCCTCAGAGGAGTCCTGCCAGGCTTGCTAAGAACTTTCTAGTCGGCCCAGTGCACGAGTGCGGGCAGCAGCTCCTCTCTGCCTGACCCCTGGCTGGCTGAGAACTCAGCAGAATCCCCAGCGGAGGACGCGAGTGTCACTGAACCATCCCCACCCCCTGCGGTCCTCCTAGAGAATCAGGCTCTGAAATGGGGTTCCTCTGAGGATAAGCTCATTGTCGCGCCCTGGAATTCTCCCCCAGCACTCCCCGTTGTAACTGGCTGTGACCACCCCTGCCCCCACAGATAACTCACGCAGACACACACAGAAGAGCCTGGTACTCTCTTCCTAGAGGGTTCCAGACCACACCCTCCATGACGGGGTGTGATGGTTCTGACCTGGTTCTGCCCGTTCTTCCCGGCGTCAGACTGCAATCTCTCTGCTATGCACAGTTCGTTTCCTCTGATTTCACTGATTTCATCTTTCAGGGACACACGGGGCGCCACCTCCTCTCCGTTCCCCTTTCCTCTGCCCTCCCTCACCCACATAAACCCACATAAAAAAGGAGGACTTTATCAGCCGGCTGCCTGGTTTTTATCGGGCCCATGGCCTGCGCTCTGTCGGGCAGTTTTCCTCCCGAGGTCCACAGCCCACCCGGCAAGGAGGCCGGCGGCTGCCTCGGAGAGAGAGACGGGCCCGCAGAGCGGCCGCCGAAAGCCAAGGACTTGCAGTCAACGTCGGTCCCGGGGCCTCCCAGCCCTTGCTCTTGGGCGCCCTCTTGTGGTCGACGAGCCAAAGACCGCTAGACTTGAGCTGCCGCGCAGACCTCAGCTCCTTCCTCCAGGGGCCGGCCCTGCTCTCCCAGCAGCCCCGCTCCGAGGGCTGGTTTGGGGGAGAACGAGGGCGCTTTCCTGGCCTCTGAGGAGGGGCCTGCGCCGAGCTTCCTCCAGTGACCGTCAGAGCTGCAAACGCTCTGGTCTCAAGTTCCACCCTCCCACGCCCGCAGGGGTGCCCTGGGGGAGTGTCCCCCCTCCTCACATCCCGTTAGGAAATTGAGCCATCCACACACCGCCCCCCACCCCCCACCCCCAGACCCTTAACGTCACTATGTTAGGTAGAGCGGGGTATTTAATATAGTGAGGATGGTGATAACCAGTCGCGCTGTACTTGAACATCCCAAATTACATTTTAATTACCAAAAAATAAAAATAAAAAACATGCTCCTTGTAACTAGTGAAAGAAAAGACAAGTTAACTGTTTGTCCCTAACCTCTTTATTCCCAGCCTCTTGAGATAACCAAGGTAAAGATCCTGATGTAAAGAGGCAAATAAGGTGCACGTTGAAGGGTTTACATAGGTGCACGTTGAAGGGTTTACATTGGTGTCAGTCTCTTAAAAACCTGATTCCCTCATGTCAGTAGCATTCTTCTTGATAGCAGTGCGGTAGCCTGGACGTTCTGTGATTGATTCGGTGGTTTCATTACGGGCAGACATTCGGTGTGTTTCCAGGCTTTGTTATTACAAGTAGTACAGCAAAATATATCCCTTTCATACTGGTGTCTTTATTGCTATAGGGTAGATCCCCCAAAATGAAATTGCTGCTTCAAAGTGTATATATATATATTTTAAGATTTTATTTATTTATTTGAGAAAGACAGAGATAGTGACAGCAGGAACACAAGCAGCACGAGTGGGAGAGGGAGTAGCAGGCCTCCCGCCGAGCAGGGAGCCCGATGCGGGGCTCGATTCCAGGACCCCGGGATCACGACCTGAGCCGAAGGCAGACGCTTAACGAGTGAGCCACCCAGGTGCCCTGTATATTGGTTTTAAAGTAGATTTTAAATAGATATGGATGATTTGGGGGCAACATTGCTAGCCCAGCAAGGTTGTGGGGATTCACATTCCCGTCAGCCATGTGTTGGAGGACCCACTTTCCAGCATCCTTGCCAGCCCCAAACATGTTCTCTCCTGGAATTTTGCCTGTCTGATCAATGAGAATACTACTAC